GAGAGAGGGAGAGAGAGGGAGAGGGAGGGAGAGGGAGAGGGGGGGAGAGAGAGAGAGAGATGGTGTCCTCCGTAGAAGCTTCATGTGCTAAGATAGGTTATCTGCTTTTCTATTCCAGGCATTTGCGGGAGGCCGGAAAAGGAGCCACCATTTTAGCTTCTTCCTTTTTCTTACTATCCTATGGCTCTCAGTAATCCAACCACACATTTGCTTCCCCATAGTTCTTGGAGTTCGCTTTGGAGCTGGGAACAATGCATGCAGAGTGAATAGTTTTTGGGTATTGGAGGAAGGAAGACAGGAAGAACGAAGACCAAAGCCTTTAAAAAGATTTTGGTATCGCAAAGGTTGGTTTTTGTAGGTCCAAACAACAGCTTAATTGGTGCATGAATTAATTTAGCACGATAAGGAAACTGAATTTAGAAGACAATGTCTAGCTTCATTGGTGTTCTTGTCTCTGATCCATGGCTTCAGAGCCAATTCACCCAAGTGCAGCTTCGAACGCTCCAAACAAAAGTAAGCACTTTCTTGAGGCCACCCTTGATGCATTTTGAAAAGCCGCGTTGTTTTCTTTGCATAATTAATCACAATGCTAGCTCTTATGTTCCACGGGATAGTTCACTTCCGCAAAGAGATCGGATGCTGAGCATGTAACTATAAAAGATTTGCCGCCAGTGATGGAGGAGCTTAGGGGCATTCAGGAGGTTCTAACCGAGGAGGATATCACAAACTTTTTGAGCGAGTCTTACCCTGATATGAACCAGTCAATCGAATTTGAGCAGTTCCTTAGGGTACATTGGATCATCTTGGCATACCTTTTGTTGATTCCAATTTTTTTGCAAAAAAAGATTCCACATTTTCACTCATGTATGAATCTTTTTGTCTGATGAGTTGTACAATCTTGCAATATGTTAGGAGTACTTAAGCCTTAAAGCTAAGGGAACCAGCAAATCAGGAGGCCAAAAGAACTTGAAGGGATCAGTGTCCTTTTTGAAGGCATCGACCACTACTCTCTTGCATGTCATTAATGAGTCTGAAAAAATTTCTTATGTCAATCATATCAATAATTTTCTCGGGGACGACCCTTTCCTGAAGAATTTCTTGCCATTGGATCCAACATCAAATGATTTATTTAATCTCATTGGGGATGGTGTTCTGCTTTGGTGAGATGGTCTTCTAAATGCGTATTGTATTCATTTAGTACCACAACATATCTTAATTTTGTTTTTTGTTAAAAAAATTCTAAAGCATTTATTTCCTTACCTTGTACTGAATCAGCAAGTTGATCAACGTTGCTGTTCCCGGCACAATAGACGAGAGAGCGATCAATACAAAGAAGGATTTGAATCCATGGGAGAGGAATGAGAACCACACTCTTTGTCTCAACTCTGCCGAGGCCATTGGTTGTACTCTAGTTAACATTGGGACACAAGATCTGATTGAAGCCAGAGTATGTTTCCATGTTTTATTGCATCAGTACAGTTTATTAATATTTCTCAGGTTCTTCTCTTTTGTTACTATTGATCTTGATCTATGACTTTCCTTCGTTTACTATTTAAGTTTGAACTAGCAAACCAAAGTACAGGATGAACGATACAAAGTAGCGAGGGAGCCCTCTTACACAACATATCCCGGGATATCCAGACAACCTAAAAGGACACGACTACATTAACGAAACATAATATAAGCATGCATGAATACAACATCAAGAGGAGAAACGAGGATAAGGGTCTTCACCCAGAATCCTTGCATGGAGAGAAGAACCACAACAACGTCCTCCATAGAAGCACAACACCCGCGGTCGTCGACGCCAAAGCGTGGATCTTTCACTCAGTAGCTCACTAGTGTCACCATGATGCACCCAGAACCACCGCGATGAGCACAAGCCACCAGATACAGACCTGGTCGACGCCACTGCCCATAATAGAGAACGCGTCAGGGCCACGCACGGCTACACCGCTCGCCGCCCAGTCGACCAAGAGACATAGCCACCCCTGCCTCCATGATGCTTGTCAAAGACCCAAAACAAGCGGACTACCATAAGGGGCTGCCGCCCCGACATGGATGCTCCTAGACACTGCCAACCATCCATCTCATGACCACACAACCATGATAGGAGTGAATGACACCTCCATACACTCCTAGCCCGACATCAATCACCGGATCTGAGTCGGTGCCTCCACGGTAGGAAGCGCCCACACCTACCTCCTAGTCGGTTCCTGGTGGACCGGGGAGAATACAACCCAGTGACTGCTGACGGCCGACACGGAGCAAGATCAAACGCTGCCATTCGCCGGCCACCGGTGTCGATCCGTTCGACGACACGACAACGCTGGAAAAGCCCAACACGGACCAACGTCACCAACACACACCAGAGAAGAGCACAACGCAAGGTAACCCAACGAAACCAAATCACTCTGTCGTACCTGCACGCTGCTGGGCGTTGCCCACCACCTCGAACCAGATCAACACCGCCCGCTTAGGCCAACTCCAACGCACGACCACAAACAGACATTGGTTTTGTCCGAATTTCTTCTGTTTGGGGTCGGAATGGGGCTGTGTCCGCCCGGATTTGGATTTGCGTCGGCCGGGCGCCCAACACGCGGCCGCATCTCGCCCACAGACATTTTTTCCTCATTTACTTATTATTTTCACCAACATTTTTTGTGATACATTGGAATACATTCACCAAATCTTGGCTAGAATAACAAGCCCAAAGAAAACAAGAACTACGAGAAAGCATTTTAAAAGATATCCAACTTCTATAACTGCTCCGTAAGTTGGATTAGTGCCTTCTTGATGCATTGGTTATTGATATGCGGAGTCTTGATCTTGAATGCTTCTTTCTTCTTCGCGTATAAAGAAATAGACGTTGCTTCTTCGCATCTAGTCTCATCTATAGCCTCTATTCTAGCAACAAGTGCACGAACATCTATTAAATTGCGCTCTATCAATAGATCGATGTATTCTTCTTTCCAATACCAAAAGTTGCATCCATCCTACACAATAAATATTTGAGTGTAAGTAAAACTAGCCTAATCCGAGCACAACCAAAGCTAAAGTAACACACACCCCATCGTTTGAGCACTTGATGAACACCCATCCAAGATGTTCCGGCGTTGTAGACACGCGGCGCAAGACCTTCCTTGAGCAATTGTCGCACTTTATTGGTGGCAACGGAGCGCCGACGAGCCTTTGGGCCAGCACCAAGCTCGAATGGCCGCCGTTCATGTATTTGCCGGTGAACCGTCGATGGGGTAGATCTGAGCGGCTACAGGCGGAGTCAGTACCTGCATGCGGCCTAGGGTCGTTGTCGGGGCTGCGTAGATCGGTACCTGGCCAGTCCATGGCGCGCCGCGGCCTCCAGTGGCCTGCCGCGCACAAATCCAGCTAGATCCGCTCCAAATTCGGCCGCCGGTTGCGTTGAAGGCAGAGGCGAGGGGTTGGACAGCTCGTGGTGTGGAGAGCACGTGGTCATGATTGGCAGTTACACGGCCGCGGAGGAGGTGGCTAGGGACGAGAAGGGAGAGGGGAGGGGTGTGCGGCCGGAGTTTGGGGGAAGGGGAATAGAAAAAGGGACGGGTGTGTCACCGACAGGCGGACCAAGGACAGATAAGGGCACGCGTCGCGACCTTCTGTGCATGTGTGTTTCACCACAAACTCGGCCTAAACTTGGGCCAAGAATGGACCGGAAGCGGACCGAGAACGGACATTTGTCGGTTTGCTTCTGCGCGTGGCGACACTGTTTCTGCCCGTTTACCCCAAATGAATGGGGATGAACGATTTGGGGTCATTGCCTTGGAGTTGCTGCAGCAACCCGCATCACACCGCCACCAAACCACAGCAGCACACTCCACACTGCCCCATGCCCGCATCACCGGCTGGAGGACCCCAGACAACACCGCCACTGACCGCCACCAGGACCGAGCCAATCCTCACCTATCGGAGTGGAAGCCCGGAGCTTGCCTGAGCACAAACTCTTGGTCAAAACCACCTCCGTCGCACAAGGGGTCCACACGCTGCTGGCCCGGACAGGAGAAAGGAGGACACCATCACCGCCTGCACCCCGCCATCGAACGCGAGCCGCCACGGCCATGCCGTCGACCAGTGCAACCACCAAGAGCCAGAAGAAAGGATCAGGGCAGACCGCCGCCATTGTCAAGAGCTCCACCACGACCCAACCTACCACCAGACAGTCTAGTGCCAAAGCAGCCACACCAGGCCGCCGCCGCGAACCACGCCGCACGCCAACCACCCAACAATAGATCCGTCCAGATCTGGCCGGAGGTCAGCCTACACGCATCCACTGGGAGGAAGACCTCCCGCAACCGCCGCACCTCGAGCGACCCCTAGGACATCGACGCAGAGACACTTGACGACCACCCCGAAGTGCCCCATGGCAGCCAACGCCGCTACCGGAAGGCGGCATCCTGCGCCAGTCGTTCGTCGTGCGGAGAGGCCCTGCCGCTGCCGCACCAACCGGCGGCGGCGGTGGAGGATAGGTAGGAAGGATGGGGGCTACCCCAGAAGCTAGATTTCCGTCCGCGTCGAGCTCGGGTGGGTGATTTTTTGTTATTAGCCTGTCACCAAACATAAAAGAAGTTGAGTTGGTTTTCAGGGAAGGGTAAATACAATACATAATAACATTTCTGGACTAGGTTGTGCATATCTTTGAAGTGCACAATGTAGGTAGTTGTAAATTTTATCAAATTAATCTTTGGGGAGCTTTCTATTTTGAGGCTCTTAACCTTTTTGGTATCGACAATTTCTTGGACAGAAAAATGTTATCTCTACCAGAAACATAGCTGTTCTTTGCAACGGATAAAAACGTAGCCGGTCATCTTAAGGCGTTGTCATCGGCCTGGTCTAGTTCACAGAATGGTTTATATACAATGTCTCTACAAGCACAAGTTCTCAGCTCCATTTTTATTTAGAGGATTTTCAGGGAGGTGGTTATATTGTTTATATAGAAACAAGCTTTGTTTTGTTAGTGTCTCAATTAGTTTCCTTAACTGTTACAGGTTTTTTAGGAAGGTAGAAAAGAGTGTGTGTGCTTATTTTATTAAATTCTTAGAAGCTTCCTTGTGTCTCAATTAGTTTTTGTTGTCATAAATTTTCCAAAAAGTGGGAAAGAGGGGTTCCTCATTACATTGTTAGAATTTTAGGATTACAGAAAAGAAAGATATGATGGGATATGTCGTACCATCGCCAACTCACATGTTATGTACAAGTAAAGATTCTAGCAATATATTTATTATTCGAAAATCATTCTACTTTGTACCGCTGAAGTATTTTTCCTTTTTCAGCCTCATCTAGTTCTTGGTTTGCTATCCCAAATCATAAAGGTGTGTTTTCTACAACCACCATCACTGAGTTAGTTACTAAATAATTTTTAAGCAATATAGTGTTACCTAGAACATTGATGAATGCTATCTTTACAAATTGTTTCGTTGGACTTCTCTCAGATACAACTCTTAGCTGATTTGAATCTGAAGAAAACACCTGAGTTGTTGGAGTTGGTGGCTGATGATAACAGCAAGGTTCAAATCATCGAGAGAATTTGTATGTACATGCATGTGCATTAGCAAAGTTTGGATAATTATGTTACATGATGTTATACAGGAAGTAGAGGATCTTGTCAACTTAGCACCAGATAAGATGTTGCTCAAATGGATGAACTTCCATATCAAGAAAGCAGGGTACAAGAAAACTGTAACAAATTTCTCTACTGATGTTAAGGTATGTATATCATTTGTATTCAACTATTCATGGATATTACACCTATTATAAGACAAAACAGACCTGAAAAATGCACAACCTCTATGCAATTTTTTCATACCGACGGTAAATATTGTGATTTTTTTGCGAGAATAAACACTGTGACTTTTATGGCATGTTTATGTAGCCGTGTTAAATCATTCTATGATATTGACGGCTATTTCAGAAATGCTAATATAAAAAATTTCATTATGCTTTTGTATGATGTATTTGTAGGATGGTGAAGCGTATGCTTACCTTCTCAGTGCCCTTGCTCCCGAGCATAGCTCAACAACCCTGATAGAAACTACAGATCCTAAAGAAAGGGCAAAGAAAGTACTTGAAACTGCCGAAAAGCTTGATTGTACAAGATATGTAACATCTAAAGATATTGTTGAGGGTTCAGCAAATCTGAACTTGGCATTTGTTGCAGAAATATTCCAGCACAGGTATTGATCTCTCCTTGTCCTCTCTTCTGATAAATCTGTTTTGGCCCCTTAGGGTTTCATGCAAGAAACTAAAAGAAATATCATCATTTTGTGAGGATTTGTTCCACCTGTTATATGTGTCTTAAAACACAAATAAATCAAAACAACTTTGTAACTGTGGAAATGTCGTTGTTTCAAACATTTTCTCTAGGTTAATGGATATTATGAAATGATTTAAAACTTGTGCAGAAATGGTTTATCATCGAACAATGTGGCTCCTGTCATCGAAGATACCCCTGGTGATGTTAGGACAGGGTTAGTCATTTCGATCAACAGCTTAGCCTTGAAATATATTTTTGGCATCTTACACACGTTCATTTCCAGATCCGTTCTGCTGGTGGTGCTTGACAAAACAAAAAGCTATGTTTCCTTGATTCTTTCCACTGCATATGGTATTTTTTGCTACCTGATGAACCAGTCGCATTTGTTTTTTCTCTACCTCCGGCGAAATTTTCCAAGGGGTTCAAACAGAATTCCACGAGAAAAACCGGAATAGCTAATGAGCTGACGTTTTCTAGAAGTGTTCTTTTTCTAGGGAATGCTCTCTGGTATATTTGATCTCGTGTGCGAACCTCAAAGCAGTGACATGTGGCAATTTTTGTTGTTTCCCATGTACTCTTTCGAAGGAACAATGCAAACATTCGTTCACATACACCATCCAGAGAGAAGGACTCCGTGTGTAGCATGGAACCCTACAATGTAGCATGGCAATTTACTTATAAGAATGTATAACAACTCTTCTATGTACACAACAATTCATCCTGTTACCGCATGGCAATTTATTTAACATGTGGGCAAGTCTTCCTTTTTCTTTAGCCTGGCAATTCTCTCTACTGCATTATGACAAATCCCTGGAACGCATGGAAAATTACTCTACTGCAGCAAGGAAAATTATTAACAAACCTTTTCGCTAGCATGACAATTTTTCTCTTTCACATGGCTTTCTATAATAGCATGATAAATATATCTGTTATAGCACGCAATCATGTGCGTTCTCTGGGCATGGTTTTTTGAGGGAACGAGTGGCTTTTTGAGGGAACACTCCATGACGGTGCATTTTCTCAAGCATGCCTCATGCAGGGTTTTCTCAAACATGCCTCACGCAAGGAACGTCCATTCGCTTGGATACTAACAGTGCAAAATACCAACAGTTCCCTTGGGTAGGGGTCCAAGCGTAACTAGAAGTCTCAGATCGGAGGTCGCACAAAGATTGACCCAGGTTTGGGCCTCCATAGAGTAATACCATACATCATGCTTGCTTTTGTTATTCATAGTGGAGGGGTACCTCGTGCAAGGGATTACAATGGTTTATGAGGTTGCTACCGAAAGTTTCTATATGAGATTAGATGCCCTAGATGGTTCCCCGACCTCCATTTATATAGGCAAGGAGGTCAAGGGTTTACACGAAGGTAGATGCAATATTCAGCGTTGTAGCCCTTGTCTTGGAGGGCTAGAAGGTCTTTGACGCTCCCTTAGGGCTCCCTTACCCTGGGCCTAGTGGGCCCCTAATAGATACGAGGCCGGCCCCCCTTGAGGGAGCCACTTAGTCCCCGAACGTGGCGGAGGTCGCGGGAGAAGTCTTTAAGACCGCTAACGGGCTCTTGTCTTCTTATTTATGCAGCTCCTTCTTCTGGGAGCTCGGTCGAGGAGTTGTTAGTGATTACTTAATTGGGCCCTTGGAAGCTTGTTATTTATGGGATATCATAATCTTGAACCCGCCCATGGGGGCGAGCCGTAGTTGTAGCATCACGGGCCCCCATGTTCTCTTAGCCTTTCTCATGGTATGGGGAGAATTTGGCCTACCCCTGTCTTTTGCGATGAGCCACGCCCGCAAACTGCCTTGTCAGCACCAATCTAGGAGCCAGTTGGGTCTTCGCTCATTACGGCAAACTTGCCCATGATTCACAGAGTGGCAACTGTAGCAGAAAGTGGGGGCACATGGCCCATTGGGATGCCTCGATTCCTGGCGCGCCCTGTGGTTGGACATACGAGTGGAGAAGAGAGGAAGATGTTTCCATTTCACTCCTATCTTTGTCATTGCGCCCCAGCTCAAGCATCTTTCTCCTGGCCTCCACCATTGTGACATTCATGGTCTTCGGGCTCGCAGTTTCTTCTCGTGAGCGGAAAGCCATGGGAAGGACGAGCTCGACCTCCCGTGGTCATGGCAGAGGTGTGTAGGCGACTGAGGGAGTCCTGGACTAAGGGGTCCTCAGGCGTCCGGCTTGTTAGCCATGGGCCGGACTGATGGACTGTGAAGATGCGAAGACCGAAGACTGTACCCATGTCTGGATGGGACTCTCCCTGGCGTGAAAGGCAAGCTTGGTGAACGGATATGTAGATTCCTTTCTTTGTAACCGACCTTGTGTAACCCTAGATCCTCCTCATGTCTATATAAACCGGAGGACTTAGTTCGGATAGGAGACTCATTATCATAGCCATACAAGCTAGACCTCTAGGGTTTAGCCATTACGATATCGAGGTAGATCAACTCTTGTAATACTCATATTCATCAATATCAATCAAGCAGGACGTAGGGTATTACCTCCATAGAGAGGGCCCGGACATGGGTAAACATCGTGTCCCTTGTCTCCTGTTACCATCGACCTTAGACGCACAGTTCAAGACCCCCTACCCGAGATCCGCCGGTTTTGACACTGACATTGGTGCTTTCATTGAGAGTTCCACTGTGCTGTCGCCAAAAGGTTTGATGGCCCCTTCAATCGTCCATAATGACGCTGTCCAAGGAGAAACTTTCCTCCCCGGATAGATCTTCATGTTCGGCGGCTTCGCACTGCAGGCCAATTCGTTTGGCCATCTAGAGCAGATCGAAAACTACGCCCCTAGCCATCAGGTCAGATTCGGAAGCCTGAACTATGTTGCAGACATCCGTGGAGACTTGATCTTCGCCGGATTCAAGACCGCCGTAGCCGCTCCCGGTCACCCCGTTGATCATGACCTAAATCTGTCATCAGGCCTCATTCAGGAGATTGCTCCTATAACCGCTCTGGCCCTAGATCCGGAGCAAGCTGCGCCATCCAAGGACGGGAGGATCAACCCCACCATGGAGGCCACAGATTCCACGGCGTTGGAGCCGCACATAGACTTAACCTCTCATGGTGTCTTTGTCAGCGGTACTCCGGACTCATCTCCGGCCGTAAGTTTCGAACCACGTGAGCCCGCGGACGCCGAGCTTGATCGTTTATCGATCTTCGAATTTGGCGCTCTAGACATCTTCCAGCACTCACCTTTGGGCGATGTGCTAAACTCCTTAAAGAACCTGTCCTTGGCAGAGGACTCACAGCCGAACTATATCCGGTTCGAACTAGGGGCTGATGGTGGAGAATTTTGCTTCCCGCCCACCACCCACTTCGTCGCCACGGTCGAGGATTTCACCAACACACTTGATTATGACTCCGAGGACATCGACGGTATGGAGGATGATGCCGGAGAAGAAGGAGGCCTAGAACCCGCCGTTCACCGGACGCTGGACGACCACTTCCTCGTATGATGTATACATGGTGGATGCACCAAAGGAGAACAACAACAATGACAAGGAAGATCCAGTCGAGGATAAACCTTCCGAAATACAATCCAAGCGCCGGCGTCAGCGGCACCGCTCTAAGTCACGCCGCAGTAAAGACAGCAACACCGGCACAGGAGAAGATAATACTCCAGAAGGTGCTGAGGACAACGAAGACCCCGTTGAAACAGCTAATGAACAAGATGAACGGGAAGATGGGCAGGCTAGCCCTGGCAAGTAGGCCACGCATGAGGACTCAGAGGATGGATGTTATCGTCCGCTCTCCGAGGATGAGGCGAGCCTCGGCACCGATGATTTCATCGTGCCCGAGGAACCTCTAGAGCAGGAGCGCTTCAAGCGCCAGCTAATCGCTACTGCAAGGAGCCTGAAAAAGAAGCAGCAACAACTTCAAGCTGACCAAGATCTGCTCAATGATAATTGGATTGATGTCCTAGCAGCCGAAGAATACGGCCTCGAGCGCGCAACCAAAAGCTATCCAAAGCGCAAATTGCTACCTTAGTTTGACGAGGAGGCGCCGGAATACATACCTCCATCGTACAATGCGGCTGACCGACCACCACATGGTCGAGACAAAACGACAACTCACGCTGAACACCAGCCAGCCCCGCCTCAGCGCACAGGTAGAGGTAAATTAGCCCACGGTCATACATATGACCTCTGGCAAAACCTGAACAATAAAGCAGGACATACTAGATCAATCTATGGATCGCGAGGATGTGCCTCGACAATCGACGAAGGCCACCTGTTCAAACGTGACAAACTTAGTCATGCACGGACTAAAAACCGCAGATGGACTCCATCAGAGCTACGTCGCAATACGGCCCGATATAGAGGCGCCGCACACCCTCATTGCTTCACCAATGAGGTCCTCGGTCATGAATTCCCAGAAGGGTTCAAACCCATGAATATAGAATCATACAATGGAACCACGGACCCCGCGGTTTGGATCGAAGACTTCATTCTCCACATTCATATGGCCCGCGATGATGACCTCCACGCTATCAAATACCTCTCTTTAAAACTCAAGGGGCCAGCTCGGCACTGGCTCAACAGCCTGCCTGCAAATTCTATTGGCAGCTGGGAGGACTTGGAAGAGGCCTTCCTCGGTAACTTCCAAGGCACATACGTTCAACCTCCAGATGCTAATGACTTAAGCCATATAGTTCAACAGCCCGGAGAGTCCGCCAGGAAATTCTGGACTAGGTTCTTAACTAAAAAGAACCAAATCATCGATTGTCCGGATGCCGAAGCCCTAGCAGCCTTCAAACATAGCATCCGCGAAGAAAAGGAAGAGGGAGACCACCGCCGCTAGTGAATTGCAGCATGAGGCCGACGTGGTCGTCAGCTTGTGGTCTCGCTCCCTTGCCTCAGATGGAGAGGTCCAGAAGCTGAAGGAAGAAGGGTCATTCCCTCTGCATTTTGCCTACCAAATTCCTCTATTGATGGAGAGTTCACTGGCGCCGCATCCCGGTGAGCGCATGGTCCACCTTAATTTTTTCGTTCGAGGGCTTGACTTCCCCCTATTCGTGCAGGGGCTTCTTTTTTCTTTGCTTGTCAACTTCACCACCTTAATCCACGAGCATTCTCCATATCACGAACTTCATCACATTCTGCGAAGGCTTCCTGGGGACCGCCGCCCATTTTAACTTGTTCCGTCGGTACTTTTGTGTCAAGGCGCAAATGCGCGGGGGCATCGTCTGTGATCTTTAGAGGGGTGAGCATCTAACTGCGGGCTCTCACTCCATTCTTCCCTATGGACCTCCCGAAGTCGATGGGGACCTGAAGTGGTTTTATGTGTCCGGGCTTTAAGACAGCCTGTCGACCTTGTTTGGCGGCTCCCCGACACGCTTGAACTCTTGGGAGTCCTCAGACGATCTCCCTAATGACGCCGAGCTACTAATGGCTGCCACTACTCGCTTAAAGGTGAGAGGCTTGAAGGGGGTTCACATTGCACG